CTGGTTGTCACAGATTGTATAGTCCACTGTACTTGCACCATTCCATTCATAACATGCGAGTCTTCCTAATCTGTCTCCTATTCCCCTTCCATTTAAAATGACCATCTGATTGGACCTGCACATTTTTATCAAGTTTTCTCCAAATGTATTTTTCTGGGTGTTCATGTTATGTCGCTTTTTGGTTAGTGTATCACATGTGTACATACCGGGTGTTGGTATATAGTTGTTCTCATAGTCTTCTATAGTGTCCACTAAGTTGGCTGTTCGGGCATTGAAATCTCTTTGTAGCATGACATAACCTTTTTGTTTGTAGGTGTTGATTTCTGATTGTAATATACTATAGGGATCTGTATTTTTCTTTTCATAATATGATGAGTTGGATGGTGGGATGTAGACTGTACACAGGTAAATATCCTTTTCCAATTTGAAAAAGTCTTTACACAATCTGCACCACAGAGTAAAGTCACTTGTTTGTTGTTGAATAGTTACACCAAGTTTGATTGATTGTTTAATGAAGATGGTGATGCCGCCTGAGTTGCGCCATGCTTTGTTTGGCTTTTCCCTAATCTTATGGAAAGCGAAATATCCTTCTGAAGTTGGTATAAGATTGATGGAATTATTATCTAGCTAGGTTTCCCTGCAGCCATAAATGTGGTATTCTTGGATTGTTGTTTGTATATTCAGCATTGTTTTGTCTTGTTGTCTTGGGCTGATGTATTAGGTATATAGTTGTAACGTAGTCCTTGTGAGTTTAATTGAGCAATATGTAATAGTTGGTGTTTAATTCTTGTATTTGTTGTACTACCCATAATTATTGCTTCAAGTCTGATTGCAGTGATTGCAGTTGAGTTTCAATGAGTTTCACTCTGGAGATTAGATTATCATTACCAGTTTTTCCCCAAACTTGCTGGAAGTTGTAATGTTTTCCAGGTGTTGCAGCAATAGCTGAGTAACTGGCATCTGTTCCGTCAGTTGAAATGGTGTATGATGGTTTATACATGTAGGTAGTTCTTTCTGGACGGGCTTCAAGGTTAAAATGCTTCATGATGGCTGATTTGATGTTGTTAATAAGGATGACTGAACCCTTTGCTTTACTCACATGGATGCCATCTTTACTTAGATGAGACTAACCAATGTTTGACATACTCACTGTGAATCTGGTGGTCTTGTTGCACATTCTTTCAATTGCTTTGTTGATTGCTTCATAAGATTCCATTGTTTTCCTATTCCAAGTACTTCTTATAGTAACA